GCACCATGAGCAAAACAAGACACTCCGAGTGATTTCTGAGCTTGCGGGATGCAGCATAAGCACAGTCTTCGAAGTTCTCCGACTCTACACGGAATACGGCACAGTCATCAACCCGAATGCTAGACCTCGAGGCCGGCCGCGCACTCTCGACATGCAGGATATGAACTTCGTGCGATCAGTTATTGAGGGAGAGCCTGCTATCTACCTTGATGAGCTACGAGATCGAGTCTACAACAGACTACACAGCACATGCAGTTTGTCAGCCTGAGGGCGGGCTGCAGTCTACAGAGTCACACAGTTACAAGAAGCCATCTCGCATTACTGCATATGGGTATATTTGGCTCGAACAAACAATGCTCACGGAAACCCGATTTTCGGTTTCATATGCAAACGACTGTAAGGACGCGAGTCGCTATAAATGGAAGGTTGAGACACTGTGCGGTAACCCCGCAGCGTCGCGAGGGACTTCGTCTGAAGTCTGGGCAGCTCGCTTCGGAATGGGAATCCTAAGGCGGTGAGGAGGTTGTGTACTCACTGCAATTCATTCGTACACCGGTAACACCACCTCCCATGATCATGAGAAGTTGAATGGTTTTGTATATCAGTACACATGTAGTTTTAATTTTTTGAAACTGAACCCCAAAGTATAATACCAAGTGAAGGCTTTGTGTATAGATTGGCCCTTGTCCGGACTCAAAGTGCCACAATGTCATCAATATCGGCGCCTTGCAATGACTGCATGATGAGACAGAGAACAAAGAAAATTGTCAAGTTGCATTACGGAGTGAAGACAACTAGAATCATCACAAGTGAAAAATATTGTCCGTGGTTGGGATTGAACCTCCAGCTCACAGCATTGCATCTGAAATAACCCATCACACTAACCACTGCACTAGCAGCACACTAGCAATATTCAAAAGTGAGATAATATGTTAGTTGGGCAACCGTCTGGGCGCATCCGCTGCAATGGCTCCGCGTCCACTTTGCGAGCCGCTGCGCGACTCGCTTACATAATCTGCGTCCTCAACTTTGTAGGGAGGATTGCATTTCGTATCGGGTCTACAGGAGAAACCGCTAGAATACTTGGTGTACATCCATGAATTGTATTTTCGGACAAACTTCCCTTTCCACCAAGAGAGTGCAGCCGCTCCTTTGAATCAGTGATGGAAGTTCTTAGAACGGGACCATTAGAGCATATTCGCTGTGGTAATTACCACAGCGTGGGGCCAATGGGGTCGCTTAAATCCATCAAAATTCCCTTACTTGGGAGCTCCACCCGTAGTAAATACCACACCGAACATGCTCTATCGCCTACATCTGTACAGGAGCTGAGTCCGTCTTTGCTATTGCGCCCCCGTGCAAACATGACCAAATATTACCTTTTCGAGAATTTTATCATGTGACCTCCGACTCCTCCGGCCACGTCACTAAAAATAAAGAATGTAAACGCATTGCGTAAGCTGGCTATGCCTGAGCTAACATATTTATATTATTTCCGAACACCATTGTGCTCCTGTAGCCTAGTGGTTAGAATGATGTCCGCATTTGCCGGAGGTGTTTGGTTCAATTCATGGTTGTGCAAACTTTAAATTTTCTCCTCCTTGGCAGGGTTAGGGTTTATCAACTACCTTTATGCACTATTGCCTTTCTATAGTATCTTTGTCAACTATATGTATCACAGGTCTACAAATTTGAATACAAAATTTTGTTTTCCTATCTATACGAGCCACTTAGTCCCTAGTGGTTACTCTAACTAGTCGGACATGCGCCCGGAGGGAAGTCCGCGTTTGCCGGCGTCACATGACTTTCTTCTCGATATGGTATCTTTGTACATGTTTGCACGGGGGCGCAGTAAAGCTACCTAGCTGAGTCACCTAAAGGGAAGAGCGTCAGTGGAATACAAGCATCACCCTCGCTCTCCATAAATTTATCTCACGCCTCGCTCACCTTCAAAATCTCCTGGAGTCTTACTGTTACTGCGTCTTTGCTATTGCGCCCCCGCGTAAACATGACCAAATATTACCTTTTCGAAAAGAATATCATGTGACCTCCGACCCCTCCGGCCGCGTTGCTAAAAATAACTGGACCCAGCCGTATTAAGTAAGCGCCAATTACATTGCCATCATATATTTTTAACGTGTAAGACATGCATTGCTTCTTTAGTGTAATGGTTACGCGGCATGCATTTAGCACAGGACGTCTAAAGTTCAATTCCTACTGTGCACGTTTGTTGATTTGTGCTTTTAGGAGGGTTAGGGTTTATTACCTTTCCTTACTGTTGGCTTTTATATCTACCTTGTCAGCCACATGTATCACAGCTATATAGATTTCAATGAAAATTTATTTTGCTCCATCTATATGACCCTCTTAGTCCAGACTTGAAGATACTCTAACTGGCCGGACACGCGCGCGGCGGGAAGCCCGCGTTTGCCGGCATCACGTGATATTCTTCTGGATATGGTATATTTGTACGTGTTTGCACGGGGGCGCAGTAAAGCTACCTCTGTTACTGTCACATCGAGCAACCGATAATATGACACACGGTGGCATTCAGTCCCATATGTCAATACAATATTGTGAATTCCACACAACCACCATATACAGTCATATACTCCCCATATGGGAGCTGAGCCACAGACGATCCCCTACAACGGTAATGTCAGGGAATATCAAATAGAAACAAATGCATTACCATATTTGAATATCAATTTCCGCAGATATACCCAGTGATAGAGCAAATATGGATAAATATATGGAACAATGGGGAAGTCCGGTTTTTGGCCTGATACAGTACAATGAATCATAGCTAAAATATCAAAGCACATCTCGGGTTGATAGCGAATCCGGAATATGGATGCAAATAGCGTAACACATAGCATAAAGGTGCGATATACCTGATTCGGGATCGTCCGGTATATAATCGGGCCGCCAACGGGCCGCCAGTGGCTGCATCGGCAAGCCACTCAATAGCCGGCGGCGGCCCACCGGCGGCTAAGAGCGGCTGGGAGAGCGGCTCGCAGCCTGGTACGGGCGCAACCGACTTGTATGCCTAGTTCTAAGATAGTGTTTGTGTTCAGCGGAGCTATATGGAGATGATGAAGTGGACTTACCTGAGATAACATGAGTACAACAGCAAGCTCGTCCGTCAGAGGGAATCGAGCAAAATGACAGAGCACTCGTGTCGGATCAACCCTCCTCCAGATCGTCTGCGAGCTGCAACAAATAAACCT